AGATAATTTGTCAAAAAATATTTCCAAGATGGCGGCGAAATACAAAGTTTGCATGCATTTTACTCGTAGACTAAAATGTTTGAGAACGAAATGATAATATTTTCATAGTTAGGTCGTCAAGTAGGATTGAAATAGCCAATAAAAATTTTCGGTGCCATTGTCCTTTAAAATCTTGAATGTGCCGTATGATTTAATTATGTTTTAGGATTTAAAGCCTTTAAAAATGCTTTGTCATTTGTATTGGTACTTGTACTGCATCACAACGCAGTGCGTAAGTGAACAGATTCCACATGTGGGGTTGTCTTGTATATATTTTTGCCTTCTTTGATAAACATTATTAAACACGCAAATTTGGTGAGACGCACACTCGCACATGTCAAATGTCACCTGCATGTCATTGTCCTTTAACTCCTGGTCTAAATCATATGATTATTGAAGCGGGGCCGTTTTGACTTTGGGCCGTTTTGACCCAGCACCGTATTTGTGGGCAAATTGTCTATACAATTTTATATACTAGATATCACAGCCATACCTGCCATTTTGATCTTTTCCTCGCGTTAGATAAGTTGATAAGTACACTGATTCTTGTTAGCCATCGTACCTGTTCGGCTGTTCCTCTTTCGATACGAAACTTCGAGCGCCGAGTTATCATACGGCACATTCAAGTGTATAAATTATGGATGATTCCAATTCATTACGTAATATATGAACAACGAGAGTGAGTGTTTCACCGGGATATCCAAACACGAGAAAACAATGTATGAGAACACGAGCGCGAAGCGCGAGTGTTTTCATACATTGTTTTCGAGTGTTTGGATATCCCGGTGAGACACGAGCTCGAGTTGTTTATATGGCTTCTCAAATGAATCGAGACGTAACAGAATGTTTTCGTTTGCTGATTTGAATAGAATTCGTAACCAAGCATAACGCAATTAGGAATTCTATTCAAGTAATTTTGCATGCGTAATTAAGATATTTGATGAAAACACTAGTGACTTTCATCAAGTTTCACCGGGTTATCCAAATGGCATCTTGTGATCAAATAGGTGATTATCATTGGCTGAATTGCTCATGAATTATTAATGAATTTGAGAAGAATATTTCTTACTCTTATTCTTTAAAATATTAAGAG